AATCTTGAATGTCGGTGTGCTCACCCCTGTCGTCCTTTGAACCATCATCATGTCCGCCAATGCCATCATCTTCACAACCATCATGCAACTCATTGTTCCAATCCGTTGTGTTGTCCTCTTCAACACCATCTTCAATCTGATTAGATGCATCCTCATCACTCACAACCATCATACTGTCCTCTGCGAATGACAATGGACCCAATGCATTTCTGGACGACAGTTGCATTTGTTGCAAAGTACCAAGTATTTCGTTCAATGCACATTCCGATCGGAATTGTGTAGACATCATTTGTAGAAACCTCATGTGTGTGCCGACCTGCTCAAACTCATTAGGATACGTCAAACATGATTGCCATGGTTGGTGGTTTGGAAATGCATGGTGTGGTATGTTAGAATAATTAACACTCTGTTGTAGGTGATTTTTATGTTCGATACCATGTTCATGTGGAATATTGTTTGCATTTCCTGCCTTAAGAGTCACAAACACAACAATTGCCCTCTCATCTCGCAGAATACTTGCTACATTTTTATCATCCCTGATAACTGCACGCGAAAGGCCTGCGGCATGATTGAGCAATGCATGCAGCTCAATTTCTCTTATGTGAGTTGACCCCAACAATCTCTTCAACCAGCTTCACTAGGCTCAAAAATGACAACTCACTCTTAACACCCCTCACTTGTGTCTCACTACCCTTGTAAGTGTCATCGACCCAATAACCACCGTATGTAATCACAAGCTTCACATTTGGCAAGCTGTTGAAATTTAACAGAAAATAAGTGTAACAATCAATCAATTTATCAAAAATTGCCCCTCAATGTATAAAAACCATTTACGCAATGCCTAAGTCATATATCGCAGGCTGCTGAAATTTAATAGAAAATAAGTGTTGCAATTTCTGATACGCATTCATGCAGACCTTAAAAACTAGTGAACAAAAGCCTAAAAACAAAAGATGAATTGCACAAGCCATACACCGCCATTCTTGCAATACTTAATAATAAGTCACTCAATGCATAATATCCACTCACATTATGCTAACTTAACCAGTCACGTAATGGCCCAATGCCACACAAAACATAACAACAGGTTATGCAATACATAAAAACTGTCAAGTAACGTCTAAAAACTAGTTAACAAAAGCCTCAAAACAAGTGATGAATTGCACAAGTCACGCACCGTCAGTCTCGCAATACATAATAACAAGTCACTCAATGCGTAACATCCACTCACACATTATGCCAACAGAACCAGTCACATAACAGCCCAATGCCACACAAAAAATAACAACAGGTCACACAATACATAAAAACTAGTCACGTAAAGTCTACAAACTAGTGAAAAAAAGCCTCAAAACAAGGGATGAATTACACAAGTCACGCACCTCCACTATCGCAATACCTAATAATAACTCACACAATGCATAATATGGGGAGGCCTATTCTCATAAACACCTTATGCATGGAGCCCATTTAGAAAAAAGAAAGAACTCTTCACATTATGCCAACATAACTAGTCACGTTACGGCCCAATGTAATGCAATACATAACAACATGTTGTGAATACATAAAAATAGTCATGCAATGCCTACAAATTACAAAACAAAAGCCTCAAACTGAGAGATAAATTGCACAAGTCAAGCACTTTCAGTCGCGCAATACCTAATAATAAGTCACTTGATGCCTAATATCCACTCATGTTATGCCAACATAACCAGTCACGT